GGGCGGGGCGGGGGACGCCCGCCCCGCAGCAAGCGGGGAGCTCCGAGGGGGAAGCGGGGGGACTCCAGCCCCTCGCCATCACAGGTTGTGCTCTGCCCGTCGCTCCCCGGCTTTGGGAGCGGGCTCTGGGCAGGGTGCAGCAACCGGGGGGATGGGGGATCGCCGACGGGGCGACCCCTCTCCCTGCCCCGTCTGTGGGGATGTGGTGCGGGGATGGGGATTTGGACCCCACTGCCTTCTGCTGGGGGTGCTGGTGGGGCTGGGCGCCTGGGAGGGATGGATGGTGGATGGAGCGTACCTGTGTGGCAAGGCCCGAAACCCAGCAAAGGGCCAGGGGGTGGGCAGCCATCGCGTGTGATGCTCAACGGCCCCGAATCACCCGGTGCTGTGGTGCCAACAGACGTGGCTCAGGAGTGCCCTTCCTGGGGACGGTGGCCGTGCTGCCATACATGGCTGGCTCTGGCGCTGGCGGGGGCAGAGGCCCGTCGAGGCCGGGCTGGGCACGGCCAGGCTGTTTCTCATTACCTGGGAGCACGCAGTGCTGCTGCTTTCCCAGGGGCGCTGGGGCGGCTGCGAGGGGTGGATGGCCCCCGCGCTCCTGGCCTCCCGCTTCGGTTCCCTGGGCTCCGCAGGTGGACACGGGGGCTTTGTCGGCTGGTGGCGGAGTCCCCTTGGCACCCAGGGGAAAGGGTAAATACACTGGTAAATAAACGCTGAGGAGTGGGTATGAAGGATGGACGCGTTTGAAGAGCGCAGCCCCGGCTGGGCGCAGGCTGGGACAGATGCCTGGGTTTATACACCCGATTTTTGCTTGCGCACGTGTAACACGTAAACTTGTGTAAATCTTTACCAGGTACCGGTGTCCCTCAAGAACACTTTGCCCTCGCTATTTGCAGTGCCGGAGTGGAAACACACCGCAGTCTGGCCGTCCCAGCAAACCCTGCCGAGGTAGGTAAATATGTTCGTTCTCATTTTACAGATGGATAGGCAGAAACAGAGAGATACCAAGTGACTTGGCCCTAAAGGTTAAACACCAGGTCTGAAACATAACCCAGGACTCCCGACTGTAGAACTCGTGGGGCTGTTTCATTAAAGATATCCAGGAAATGAAACCATTTTAAGCTGACATTGTAATTGTAATTAGGTATTGTAATTCTAAACCTCTCCTGCAAAGTGGTCTTCTAAATTCACAAAACTAATTCAGTTTCACAGTCCTGTCATGTAAATCGCAGCCCAGCTTTGGTTTTAGGCTTCAATGCGAGGAACATTTTGGTCCCACTAACAGAAAACCTTTTACTCTGCTGCAGTTAGAAACTGCCCCAGCCTGAGGCAGTCGGGCAGGGGCACTCTGCAGCATCGCTCCCTGTGCAAGTGTGCAACGACACAGTTTCATTGCCACTGGATTTTTTTCTATCCCATATTTTTTCAATTTTTATTGACGTTTTCTCCTTTTTTTTCTGTTTCATAACCTTGTAGAAGTCCTATGCTCCTCTAAACTTGAAATGGGCTAAAGTTGCCCTCGGAGCTCCTTGCCGCTCCTTCATGCCTTGGCACGGGCGGCGTGACAATGCACTGGGTTCCAGCCAGGGGGTGACCCTGCTGCGTGGCATCAGGGATCGAGCTGGGGTCGCAGCAGTGACCGCTCACCCCGTGTGGGGAGCGCAGCCATGGAGCGGGGTGGCCACTGTCACCTGTAACCCTGGTCGCCCTTCAGAGGTGGCTGAAACCTGGGTGAGACCACCAGCATTTACCGTGTGGGTAATTAGGTGCAGTGAACTTGTTCGTGTCCGTCCCTCTCTGCAGTGCCCGTGAGCAGTAGCTAGTGGGAGTATTTTAATTTGATTGATTCTTCAAATGATAAAAACTCACTTTTGTGTCATTTTCTATCCCTGTGGTTGGTGAAGTGGCTTTACAGTCTTGGGGTGTCTGTGTTTGTGCTGGGTTGGAAGTCTTGAAGAACCAAAGTTCAGAATTTGACATCAGTGGGACCCACTTGATCACCCATTTTCTTATAACACTGCTGTGGTTGAAT